ATTTTAGATAGAGAAAATACTTGAAATATTTAGAGAGATAAACTATTCATATTAGAGAGAGAAAGTATATTAAAATTTGAGATAGAGAAACTACTTGAAAATTTTAGAGCAATAAACTATCACAAATTTTAAGTTTTAGAGAAAAAATATCTTAAAATTTTAGAGAGAAAAACTACATCAAATTTTAGATAGGGAAAGTACCTAAAATTTTCAGAGAGAAACTATGTGAAAAAAATTAGATAGAAAAGCTATATCAAATTTTAAGTTTTAGAGAGAAAAAATATATTAAAATTTTAAATAGATAAACTACTAGAAAATTTTAGAGAGAGAGAAACTATCTCAAAATTTAAGTTTTAGAGAGAGAAAGCATTTTAAAATTTTAAAAAGTAACTATATCAAATTTTAGAATGAGAAAGTACCTAAAATTTCTTGGAGAGAAATTATCTTAAAATTTTTAGAAAAAAACTATATCAAATTTTAAATTTTAGATAGAGAAAGTACTTTAAAATTTTAAAGAGAGCAACTATATTATATTTTAGAGAAAGAAACTACCTGAAATTGTTTAAAAAGACAAACTATCTGAAATTGTTTAAAGAGATAAACTATTTCAAAATTTAAGTATTAAAGAGAGAAAGTATCTCAAAATTTTAGAGAGAGAAACTATATCAAATTTTAGAGAGAGAAATCATCTCAAAAAATTGAGAGAGAGAGAGAGAAAAAGAATTTACATTTCCAAGAAAAAGATATTCCAGACATCCAAATAAGGAATTTGCATTTTCCAAACAGGGAATTGACATTTCTCAATTCCAAAAAATCTCAATTCTAGGATTGACTTTTTCAGGATTAAAAAATCGAGGGATCGAAACGGGCCCTTAAAAAACCAAAATCATTTCAATCATCCACATCCATGGTTGGTTTTAAGAATCCAAATCATTTTAATTTCTTTTTAAACCATCTGCAAAGATTGAGAGCATCATCATTCGAGTATTATCACAACTATTTGGGGTAAACATTCTCAAGGACTGAGACGAAAGGATTAAATTATCCGAGTTGTACTACTAGTGCCCGATCCACACAGAAGCGAGTTGTCTGAAAATCCTCAAGGTACATGTGCTTTAAATTAGGGTCAAATGAGGGACTCAAATTTTACTTGGAATGGGAAAAGATAGTTTGGAAATCCATAGATGAATGTGCTTCAATTTACATTGTAACACTTTGAATTGATATTCGACTGGTGCCATTAGAGTTGCTCCCAATTGTTCACCCCTCTGGCGTGCATCTGTGTGCTTGAGTGTATTTGATTTAATTTTGGCTCCAAATAAAAGAAAGCAAAACCAGAGAACACACAAATGGGAAAAGAAACTTCAATTTGATTTTATTAAGTACTAACGTACTTACAGAGGAGATGGGTTTGTGAATTTCTCAGACCAGAATTTAGTCGATCCCCTTAGACCTCTAGTTTATATGTTTGCCGAAGGATGCCTACTCGTTCGACTTGATGCGTCGATACACCGAGTGGGGATTCAACGTCAAGGTCTCCTCGGGAAATATGGGCCCCACTTGCTTGGTATATGTCAGTATCGGTATCTCACCGGACAAGGTAGATCTGCTTCAAAGGGCCATTTTTTCTAGTTTCGATCTTTCAGTTGCTGTAATTTCCCACTTTGGTGTTTAGGAATTTGGGATTTGCTAGGGGTAGCTGAAGTAAATTGATTTTTGGTAATTTTGGAAAATTTTTATATATTTTTTATTTTTAAGGGATTTTTTAATATTTTTATTTTCTGGAGATATTCTTAAAATTTGGAATTTTGGGTATTTTGGGTAGAAAGGTTTGTTCATCTAAGGCCCCTACACACATTAACATATTAAAGCTTTTCGCCAAACAAAAGGGGCAGCCTTCACAAAAACATAGGGTAACATTGCCTTGGTTTGAAAAGGTACGAATCACCATTTTCCCACAAAAACATAGGGTAACATTGCCTTGGTTTGAAAAGGTACGAATCACCATTTTCCCACCTTGAGTTTGACTCTGTAAGACTCAACTGAGTCTTCAATGATTACCATTAGTTATTATTCATCATCATCATCGTCGAAGTCTTTTTTCAACTAATTGGGATCAACAGCACAAATCGTTGTCTGTTATTCATAAGTCTCTATATTTTTTCTCACTACTTCCAATTATGTCCTTTTAGGTCGACCTTTTACTTTTTTTTAGCCGTCCACTTGAACTAACTCGCACCTCCTAACAGGTGTTATACTGCATTTACACATGGCCAGCCCACCTAAGTCTATTATCTCTCATCTTATTGTTTATTGGTGTCACACCTAAATTTTTTCAATGTATTCATTTCGAATTCTATCTCTTCTTATCTTGTCACGCACCTTCATCTCCGACACAACCCATTCTATGGGTATATTATTTTTTGGCCGCCCAACATTCCGCTTCATAAAACAAAGTTGGTCTCACAATTGTCCTATAGAACTTGCCTTTCAACTTCATTGGTATATGCAACAATCACATAAAATTCCAATTGTACATATCCACTCCGTCCACCCAGCTCTAATTCTATGTACAACATCTTCTTCAATCTTTCAATTTTCAATAATGAACAAAAGTTATAGCATGAGTCAAATTTGCCTAATGTACCTTCAGGTTGGTCCTAGAGAAAGAATGTATGATGTCACTATCATTGTTTAGGAAGTGTTAGGAAGAGGGCAGTTCATTTCTTTAGTTGCAAAGTACTTTGTTTAATAGAAGGAACAGTAGATTATGGACATATCAACACCCTCAAACTGATGAGATTCATGACAATTTCATTAATTATGTTTTGGCATGCAAATAGAGAAGCATTTGTTTCCAATGGGATCAATCTCCCTCATGAGGTACAGACACTCCAGAAGAGCATAGTTTCTCCTACAAACCCTAAACCCTTGTTGGGGAACACATTAGGTACTTAGATAGACCTGGCATTACTTAGCTAAACCGCTAGGTCCTTTAACAGATGCTAGGACCTTGAGCAGATGCTCCACTGATGCTTGAGGTCAAGAAGCTTTTGAGTTAAAGGATAGAAAATTTTCACTGCGATAAGCGGTATTATTGAACTAGATAAAAAATAGTTTGATCCAATGCTTTATTTGTTTCCTAGTTTATCCTAATTGAACATTATAAGCAGTATTATTGAACTAGATAAAAAAAAGGTTGATCCGATGCTTTATTTGTTTCCTAGTTTATCCTAATTCAACATTAGAAGCATATTGATGGTTCCTTAATAACCGAATACGTTTTCCAATAGAAAAATGCATATTTGATTCCACCTACAAATCCACTTTTTTCACTTTCTTCTTTGTTCCATGTATATTTTTTTCCACTAAAAAGGACCCAATTGACAAGCGTTTTAACTATAAAATTTCTAACTGGATGCTTCCATACACGCATGAGAGAGAGATTAATATTCATTTCAAAATGACAGACATTTAACGATGAAATTTCTAATTTCATGCTTCCACACACATATGAGAAAGAGAGAGGAGAGAGATTAACATTCGTTGCTTCCCCACACACATATGAGATAGAGATTGACATTGGTCTCTAAAACTTCAGATATTAAATATAAGAAAACTCTTCTCAATGTTTTTTCCCAACGTTTAGGCAAAAATGAACCGTGATTTCGTCTCCTCTCATTACCATCTAAATTTCATCGCATGGTCACAGTTGTTCGATAGTGTTATATTTTCATTTTTTTTTTCTACAAATCCAAATTACTTGAAATTTGAAGCATGTGTACATCTTAATGATACGCACCTAATAAAAATATGAAAAAAATAATTTGTAAAAGAAAAATTGACCAAAATACCCCCAAAAATTTACGAAGATATTTTGATCAATTTATATTTTGTGAATTATTTTTTTC